ATCAGGATGATTAGGGGATTGGAGCATCTTCCCTATGAGGAAAGGCTGAAGATTCTGGGACTTTTGAGTTTAGAAAACAGACAACTAAGGGAAGACATGATAGAGGTTTATAAAATTATGCATGGGGTGGAGAGAGTTGACAGAGAAAATTTTCTCCCTCTCTAGAACTTGAGGGCACTCAATGAAGCTGATGGGTAGTAGATTCAAAAAGGAAATACTTCTTTACACAGAGAGTGATTAAAATGTGGAACTCATTGCCAGAGGATGTAGTGATGGCCAGAGGAATAAACAGTTTTAAAAGGGGATTAAATAGATTCACGGACGATAGGTTTATCATTGGCTACTAGCCATGGTGACTGAAGGGAACCTCCACATTCAGGGGCTCCCAGACTTAGAATTCCAGAGCCAGGAGGCAACATCAGGGGGGAAGTTCTCGGTCTCTGTGCCCTGTTGTTGACCCTCCAGAGGACCTGGTTGGCCACTGTGTGAGACAGGATGCTTGGACTAGATGGACCATTGGTCTGATCCAGCAGGACTCTTATTATGTTCTTATGTTGTTAGTGCCTAAATACTATGGGAAAATCCACAATAATAAGCTTTGTCATTTTGTAGGTTTGGATGGTAAGCTTTGGATATATCTGTTTCTGAGGTAGTCCTCCACAATGCATTACTTTCTTCTGGCACTGGTGCTTTTCAGCTTATTGAATGATGATGAAGCTCTTAGAATCAGAGGGATATGCTTAGTTGTGGAGGCAAACCAGTATGCAAAAGGTTACAGTAGAAAAGGAAGCAAGACTTAGGATCCAAACCATCGCATTTAACCTTAGAATGCAGGTATTTTTTCCATGGTCAATTCTTACACATGTAAAAGCAGCAGTGTGCTTGATGTTCAAGATTAAGTTTTGAGATTGAGGCAGAGTATTAATAGTTAAAAACTTTGATTTATAAAAATTCCTGTCTTTACCCCCCCCCCCCAACTGTTGCTTGGGAGAGGCTTTTAAAGTCACAGAATAGGCATGGAGGAAAAGTGGTTCCCCCCTCCTCTTTGGGAATGACTGAAATAAAAAACAAGATTTTACTCAAAATGTATTCTATGAATTTTTTATGACACTCTACAGCATTCAGCAATAATTCCATGCAGCCCTCACCTGGATAGCCCAGGCAAGCCCGAACTTGTCAGATCTCAGAAACTAAGTAGGGCCGACTCCAGCAAGTACTTGGAAGGGCGACCTCCAAGGAATAGCAGAGCTGGGACGTATAAGCAGGTTATCAAGCCATGTCTCTGAAATGTCCTAGACCCACTAGGAGTAGCCAGAAGTCATCATGACTTCCAGGTTCACACACGCACACAAATACTAAAAAAAAAAGTAAAAAAGAAGAAAATAATTCCATGTATACTGTAGATGTGTACAACATTTTCAAGATTTTTAAATTTAATTAATTTTGATTTGATTGATATATTTGATTTATAGCCCGCCCTCCCCTACAAGTAGGCTCAGGGCGGGTAACAACAATGATAAAAGCATTTAAAACAATAAATATAAATTAACATTAAGAACAGTGTCTGATATCAATATCCAATGGCAGCCAAAACATTAGGACAGATTTAACACACCCCCGAAGGGTTTTTGCATGAAGTGTAAGAAGTGTAACGATAGATGTTAAAATAATACAGAGAAGCAGGACAAGCAGACAAAGAAGGGAGAGCATGGGGGGAGTGCAGTCCAGATGGTTACCGCAGCCTCAACCGTAGGCCTGGTGGAACAGCCCCATTTTGCAGGCCCTGTAGAACTGCATTAAGTCCTGCGAGGCCCAGATTTCACCTGTGAGAGCGTTCCACCAGGCTAGTGCCAGAGCCAAAAAGCCTCTGGCTCTGGTTGAGCCTAAGTGGATAGCTTTCGGGCCGGGGATCACCAGAAGATTTTGATCTGCTGAGTATGAAGCTCTGTGGGGGATGTTCCAGGAGAGGCAGTCACTTTTCCCTTTCGCATAAATTAACATACAACAATACATAAATCAGAACCAGTATACAGAGCCAGTACCATCCAGTTCACAAATTCAAAATGAAGGTAGAGAATGTACACAGTTATTACTTTCTTTCCTATTAATTTCTAACAGCTTTAGGATTTTAAAAAAATGGCATAAAGTAATATGCTATATTGTGTTTAATGGTAATACAGAGTTCAGTGTTACCACTGTTACAAAGTTTAACTTCATATTCAAATATTCTGGTAGCAGTGCCCAATGTGACTGAGAATGTTTCTGTCCAAATAAAACAATCTCTATTGTTTATTACAGAGTTTGTCTTCTGCCTCCAACTTTTAGTTTTCTTTCTCTCTCTGATGGTAGAAATTAAAGTTGGTATGCTGTGGTAGCATCGGATGCAGGCCTTTGCAAGTCTGTTTCAAACTTTGGGGATACTTGCAGTTTTTGTTACAAAAATATATACTTTTAAATTCCATAAATAGGCCAAACAGCAGTGCAGTTTTATCTGCTAAGTAAACAGTAATTCCTTTTATGTTGTTAAATCAGTAAAAGAAGTTTAGGTTTGATAGGAAAGTAAGTATTGCACATATTTCAGTTTCCCATGACATTTCTGGGGCTTTTTTAGGGGATCCCCCCCCCCCCCGTGGCTTTAAAATTTCTGGAAATTTTACATCTCTGTCCCTTTGCTCAGTAGACTTTGGGGATTCCTGTAGAAAGAAGGTTTGAATTCCCTTCTTCAAACATCCTTTTGTAGGGTTGCCAAGTCGCGGCGGGGGATCACATGTCTTTGCAGAATCCCTGCTGCGGGGACGGCAAGGCGTGTTGCACCCTCCGTCACCAGGACATGACGCTACGCATCGCTCTGGCAACGTTGCCACAGTGACGACAGTGGTGCAACGCGTCTCGCCCTCGCCGCAGCAGGGATTCTGCAAAGACATGCGATCCCCCGCTGCGATTTGGCGAGATTTGGGAGCCCTACCCTTTTGCCACTCTTTTGTCACAGGATGCTGACAAAATTCCTCAAGATAATGATCTGAGACATTTTGTTTTCCTGAGTGTGTTCTAATATACAAGTGTTCTGGAGAACTTGAACGCTTGTAAGCTGTTTTGAAGATAATTACTCTTCCTAATACTAAAGAATTTTATATAGGGTGTAATCCTACGCATGTTTACCTTGGAGCCATATTTAATTTGTGTGCTCTTTGGTGTGAGTAAGAATGTTACAGGAGCAACCTTTGGCAGACCCTCAGAATGCTTTCCTAGGCCAAATATCTGAAGATACTCAATTTTTTTGCAAAATTTATGTATTAGTATGATATTCTGGAAGAAGATATCTGAAAGGAAGATTGTAATCCGGAGACCTCATTGAATGAATGAAAACAATACACAATATTTTTATATCTTTATATATTGGTTCTTCATCTAGGATAAACAGCCATGCAGCAGCTTACTGTCTTTCACGTCCTACCTTGTCATGTTATCTCTGGTGGATTTAGTAAAGTGATTATTTAACTTGTTTCTTGATATTGTTGTCTTTTTATGTTTGTGTTCTGTTTTGAGTATTTTGCTTTTTAGAATCATGAGAATTATTTTGAAAACACCTAGGACAATGATATGTGATTAAAAAGAGTAGGCACTGCTGCAGTAATGCAGTAATTCCACCCTCCCTCTGAGATGGCAATGCTTATACTGTGAATTTTTTGCCTAGCTGTCTTTTGATCTCCATGTGGTTCTTGCATAATCAGTGATTGACTGCTGGTGTAAACTGCCCTCTGGAAGCTGATGCAAAGCAGCTGCAAATTTTGGCATCCAGCATCATTCTGAAGCTTTTGGCTTCTGTTACAGAAACCAGCTGGAAATGCTACCACTCTTGTAGTTTATGAAATGCTATGCACTTGGTCAGTTGTCTGTGTAACTTGGAGCAGTTCGTTGATTGATTTCCTTATTTTAATAAATTTTCTGTTTTGTAGTAGTATGCTTTAGAAAACTGATATAATAGATAGAATTGAGGTCTTAGAGGCAAGTCAATAAGCCTGGAAATAGATTATCCAATAGTTGCTCATTTGCATTTGTTTAAAGGCTATGGCATGAGGACATGCCTGACATATTATATTGGATGCTAGTATCCAGACTGTAGCATGGACTTGTTATTTATTCTTGGCAAGTTGTTCATAGATTCAGAGCCAGATGTAAAATGGGAACAATGCTGGCCATAATTGTTAATTAAAAGTATTGTATTGGTGGTAAGTAGTTGTAATAAACTGCATTGCATGGAGTTAAAATAGTGTCTTGTAGTATTTTTTGTTTTATGTCCTTAGGTACCCTGAGGCATCAGGAGATAAATGAATATGTAAAATTAGTAATGGCAGAGTACCATAGCTAACTTCCAAGTACCTTTTTGCTTATATACCAATACCATAAGAAAAACAGAGTTTAACCTTGATTCATCATCAGTTTCTGAAGTGAATTGATCTGATCAGTTGACTCCTTGACACTGAGCTATAACCTGACTGCCATTTCTGTACAAGGGTAAAGCCATTCAAATATGTTTTTAAACATTTGCTTTGAACAAGTGTGTTACTTTGTTAACCTGAAGATATCAAATTACTGCAGGCTAGCCTCCAGTCACATGCCAAGCAGTTTGCAGTTCAGTTCCTGTTTTCAGAAGGAAAGCAAGTTTCGTCATGCCCAGTAAATATGATTTTTGATAGTACATTAGAGCTGCAGTCATAGGAATACTTTCCTGGGTGTACACAGCCTTACTGAACAATATTGGGCTTACTACTGAGCAGACCGGCTTAGGCCCCCCCCCCCCTCGGATCTAGTAGTAATATATATGTTCTGGTTTAGATTTTTAGTTAACCACACAAGATGTAATTGTGAATAAAATTCACTTATCTTAATAACTTAATTTTTTTTTTGCCTAATAATTATGTAGAACCTTTATTTGACCAGTACATAAAATATAACTAATTTTCCTGCACTGGTTCAATATGAAAATGTTTCCTTTTTAGATCAAATTGCCAGAGATAAAATTACAGAAAGGGACAAGGAAAAGCAAAAAGAAAAGAAGAAACACAGATTCATATCTGAAATCAAGAAAGAAAATGGAGAGATGAAATTATTTCAGAAAGGTAAGTTTGCATGAATCTGCAACAAAAAGTTGTGGATTGTTTTGAGGTTGCTCTTTGTGTACCCCTTGAATTTAGCTATATCTGTAAACTACAGAGCATGACTGATGGAGTTGATAGGGGGCAAGTTAAAAATATTCCTTTGCCACTTCTTCTAGATTTCTGCTCCCACTGAATCCCCTTAACTTTCTTTTGCCTTCTTGTCTTTAATTCTGCTCCCACGTGGTAATTTCACCACCCATAACGCCATCCGCTCTTTGCCCCTCATCCACAGTAGACCCTCCAGTACACCTTTCTTGATTTGTTTCTGTTTCCTTTACCTCAGAGCTTTCCATTCCCTTCCACTCTCCTTGACTGCTTTACCTACCTCATGCCCTACATCCTTTCTACTCTTCCTTCTGTCTTCTTATTCCTTCAACTCCCTCCGCATCACTCATTTAAATTCCTCTTCCTTTACTCCTTCTCTCCTTCTTGCTGCCCTGGCTAGTGCCTGCTCTTCCCATCTCATTCCCTCCCATCTCCATCAGGGTCCTGTGGCAGTACTTGGGGCATCTGATCAAGTTGCTCAGGCAACAGAAATGATGCCTAATTTCTTAAAAACTCAGAGTGATTTAATTTTTTTTGCTTCCTTTATACTTTTTCTTTCTCTCCAGTCAGGATCCAAAGTAATTTCTATTGTTCTTCTCTCCTCCATTTAATCATCACAACAACCCTGCAAAGTAGGTCAGGCAGAGTGTGTGAGTGACCCAAAGTCACCCAGTAAGTTTCCATGGCAGAGTGGGGATTTGAACCTGTGGTCTCCCAGATCTGAAACTAACCACGACACCAGAATAATCTCTGTTTTGGGATCTAAATATGTGAAGGGTCGTGTCCTTCCCTATGTCTCTGTGCACCAGCTGGAATCTTTAGACAGCTATTTGTTGGCTGTTGCATTACTTAGAGTGGTCTGACTGGCAATTGACCAGAGCCCAGGTCATTTCCATTGTGGCTCCTGCTCTGTGGAATAGGCTCCCTGAAGAGTTGAGGGGGGGCCCTCCCTGGAGAGCTTGAGGAGTTGGTGCAAAGCTTGCTTTTTTGCCAGTGATTTTGAGGGGATATGAATGGCAAGTATCCTTGGAGGGAGGGAGAGATTGGGGGGTTATTTTATTCTGCTTTAAACTGGAAATATAGTAAGCTACCTTGAACTGTGAGGAAAGGCAGGGCATAAATGTTTAAATAAATTACTGTTTATTACAGTTCTAGAACAAATAAATAAATGCAAAACAGATGCTGTGTTCATGAATGTCAGTCAGTAATTCTCTAGATAAACAAAGTGCTATCGCTATATGAACAGTACTAGATAGATGGAAAGATAAACAAAGTGAATCATATATCTGAAATCTTGGTGTTAGTTGATCATTGAATACATTTTCATTTGTTGTGTTTAGATTCTATCTCAATCTTGTATTTTAAAATTATGATCCTGACTCAATTAATTTCTGGCTTGTGTTGAGCAACTTTTATTTCCGTGCTTAATGCTTACAGAAATAGAACTCTAGGAGCAAAACCTACTGCACTGTGGTGATCAAATTGTGGTTTTGGGTTTTGGAGTTGTTGTTTTTTGCTTACAAGGATGGATTGTAAGCCAGAATGTGGCTCAAAATCCTTTTTTCCAGTGTGTCATCTTGCTTGATTTGGCTGTCACAAGAAATAGAAAAATTCCATGTTTGGAATTAACAGCAGCTTCCCACCTGCATATAATGGGGAGCGAGCATGTGAGCCCAGGGAGTTCCCTGAGGTTTGTTAATGATACTGGAATGTTATTCATATTACTAATTCTGTCCTTTCTGAAGATAATATTTCAGGGGACTATGTTAATGGAATTTCAAATCTAAGAATTGTTGTTTACAGCAGAGAGTATTAAAGTTGTAATATAGAGACTTTGCCAAGTCTGTTGGTAGATCAAGTGAGCAGGTAGAGCAGCAGACAAGATTTAAAATCTTGATTGTGATAATGATGGAAAGGGAAATTGTGATAACGAAGGAAAGTCCAGTCATTGGCATTTCACTTTTGCAGCCCTGTCAGGCCCTGTAGTTTGTGTATGTGTGGTTTTGCTCACACGTTAATTTTCTACATCATTCTACTTACTATGTCAGTAGTTCTCTAAGTGGCCACAGTGCCTGGATCAAAAGAGAGAGACATTTGAGAGATGTCTGAGTTAGCTCAAAAACCAGTAATCTTTCTTGTCATGTTTCCAGGGCTGTGATGCATATAGCAAGTGATTGCCTTTGTATTTTTAATTGTAAGCCCTTACAATTAAGAGAATGTCCATGTTGTTTATATAGATATCTTTTGTTTTGCTTGTTTCTCCCCCCCCCCATTTGTTTTTACTCCAAGACTCATAGTCTGAATTTGCCAGTTGTCCACTAGTTTTCTTTTTCTCCTAAACTTTCCACTTGGGAGAACTAGTCTTCACAAATTTTGGCTTACCAAAAATTGTGGTTGCCATGGTTTTAACTCTTCTTTAACTTGGATGAGAAGGGTTCGAAGTTCTCTAAGCATCTGAAGCACTGTGTGAGATCCCTGTGATTAGTGTTAGCTCAAAAGGACTAGAGGTCTGTGCTGTGCTTGAAAGGTACTTGAAATCCCACCACAGAGGAGAGTGACTACAGGGATGATCCTCTTCCTCAAGTCTGTAAAAAGGGTGTGCCTTGTCATGCTTGCACAGGGGAAGGCAGGCTCAGAGTAATTTTTAAATTTGCAGACTCCTAGGGAAAATACTGGAGGTTTCTTAAATAATATGTAAATACTGAGTGATCTTTCTCCAGTTATTCAGTTCCTAGATCCTGGTGACCAGGCCCATAGCCAGGATTTTGTGGCTTGTGGGGCATTTTTTTTCTTGTGGGGCTGCAGTTATTTGTCATTTTTCTGTCTGTACCCAAGGGGCAGGGTTCCCAGCCTTGCAAGCCATGGGAGACCAGAAGCAACTGTGGCAGGACAGCTATAGGCTATAGCTCTAAAAATTCCAGAAGAAAGATGGGGAGGGCGTAGAGAAAGCAACCGTGATGTGCAATTGAAGCCAATGCGAGTATCTACTCAGAACCCAAGGAGTTCCTTCCCAAGCAAATGTGGCTAGGCTTGCCAAACTGTGGAGCCTGATCATGTGCCACTTGAGTCAGAAGTTCCCTTCTCCTGAGATGGAGCTTGCTTCCCAGAAAGCGCACACAGGATCACAGCCTTCTGTTTGCAAAGTTAGACTGCAAAGTTGGATTCCTTTTTGTGTGTGTGTGTGTGTTCCCTGCCAAGGTTCACAGCAGCCATCTGGGCCAAGCACACCCAACCCCCCAAACCTGTAAAAGGAACTTTTTCTAACCCAAATGCGCTCAGCTAGAGGGTTTGAGGGGGAAGTTCCAGTTGAATAATAAAAATGAAAAAGAGATGGGCTTGCAAAGAGGAAAGGGAGAAGCTGCCCATCTGGGTGAGCAGGGAGACAGGAAGAGGAAAGGGTGGGGGAAGAGTGGTGAATGAGGCAGTAGCAGTGCAAGCAAAGTGCCCAGATCCAAGCCCCCCAACATCAGAGAGAAGCGCGCTTACAGGGGAATCAGGACTGAAGGCAGGCAGACAAGAGGGCGCCCGGGCGAGAAGTAAGTAAGGCGCTTACCCAGAAGTGTGTGTGTGTGGGGGGGTCCTGGCACTGCTCGGAGACATTGGCCGGGTGCAGGGTCATCAGCATCTCCCACGGCAGGGGCATCAGGCCACGAGGTGAGAGCTCTGGGTTCCTCTGGAAGCTGCGTGTGCTGCTGGCCAGGTAGTAGAAGAGCATAGCTGAGAAGTGGAGGACGCAGGGGCTGACATTTTGAGCCTCCCCCAGCCTTTCCTGGCCATGGCCAGATGGTTCCCAGCTTCTCAGTGGGGCTTTTCAGGTCTGTTCTTGGCACATGGCTCGCTGTGGCAAGGCACAGGAGCGCACACCTTTAAAAATGTTTTAAAATTATTTTTAAAAGGTTTTTAAAGGAGAATCCTGTGGGTCTGTGCCTTTAAGAAAGGGGGTGGAGCCCTGAATAGCCCCACCATCGCTATGGGCCTGCTGGTGACATATGTTCTCAGTCCATTGAATCCATACATCTGTATGGACTTTGTTAGATTTACATACAGCTTACATGGCTTCCACAAGATACATAAAGGTTAATTCTTGGGAGTCAGCCAAGATTAATCAAAACAAAGCTCCACTTCTCTCCCTATGTCTCCCTATGTTTGGGAGCTGGACTTTATTTTATTTCAGGTATGTTCACCTTTCCTTATAAAATTTCTAGTCTGCCCTTCAACTTTGGTTCTCAAAGTTGTTTGCAATAAAAAGACGTGTTCAGGGATGTATTGAGGTCTTGGATTGCTTAAGCAGGAACTGGTTTCTCTTGCCACTTTGCCAGTTTTAATTTAAGTGTTTTATGCTTCCTTCAGTAGGTCTTGTAACTGGGTTACTGGTGTGTGCGCCTCTTGGAGTTTTCTGTTGAGATACATCCAAAAGATTACTCTGGGGGTGTATATCCTGATATTAACAAGGTTAGTTGATATTGGGCCATTCTTCTGTCTGAGTGCTGTTTCCGAGAAATATCTGTTGAGTCATTTCATAATTAATTATTTTTAAAGAAGAGCGTAACTGATGTTTTCTCTGAGATTTGGGAAGAAATGTTCCTACTTGACACTTCTTACTTTCTTAAATTTCTGACTTTCTTACTTTCTGCAAGACCACCTCCTCTGTTATACCCCCGGGAGAGCTTTACACTCTTCACAGAACAACTTGCTGGTGGTCCCTGGCCTTAGAGATAGCCGTCTGTCCTCAACCAGAGCCAGGGCGTTCTCAGCCTGGTGGAACTCTCTGCCAAATAACATCAGGGACTTGTAGGACCATATGCAATTCCACAGGGCCCGTAAGGCAGTGATGCTCCACCAGGCATTCAGTTGAGGTCAGCAATGGTTTATATCACGGCCTGCACCCTACCTGGAGCCCCCCATCCCTTGTGGAG